CCCCCCCCCCCCAAATTTGATTTCCCTTGGGTGAAATTCTACAATTCGGCTCAAAATTTTGGGAGAACAACAAAATTGTCAATGTTTCGGGTCGGGTTTAAAATCGACGCACAGGCACTGTGCGAGAAATGCCGGTTTCCATGGAGGGAGAGATGGGCGTGGCGGAATAGGGTTTAAGAACATATTTGAGTAAATTTGGGAAGAAGATTTGAAGATTACCTGGAGCCGAGATGCTTTGAAATCTTCAACATCCTCAAGTTTGAGACTTTGAGGTGAGAATGGGAGATGGAGTCTATATATATTTCAAACTTTCAGCTCTAAAACTTGTTGATTTGAATTTGAAATTTTTGTTGAGAGCAACTCCAATATCATGTTCATTTTGTTGTATACAATATGAACTAGTATTTTTACCCATGCAAAGCACGTGGTTGAACAAAATTTTTATTAGTTCTAAAAAATTTTTAATGTAATATTTTTTCTCAGAATAAAGAAAATATATTTCCCTATGATTTTTAATACTATATACAAAAATTTCAAAGTAGAATAAACAATATTTGAGAAATTGAATGTGTATTCAACCAAGTTTTTTTTAATACCAAACTTTTTGAAAGACTGTAGGGTATATAATTTTTTTGATATAGTTGCAAGGGTATCATTGTCATCTAGAACTAATATTTTTAGTTTTGTTTTTGTGTTCACTCATGGAACCATAACATAAAGCTGACCATGAGTGAATACCAACTTGGTTAAAAGTAATGCAAGAAATGACAGTGTTTGACTTTGACTTTTGTAGATTGACTTTTGTAGATGGTATCAATTTCATTAGGAGTATGTAAACTTTTTGCTGACTCGATTTCTCAAAGCCACAATCGACCAACAACATTCTTTCACAGCTCTTCAAGGATTAATCGTGTACCATTACATAATCCATATATTTGGTCGATGTTTCTCAATATCAAAATCGTTAAGCCATTTTAAAGATTATTTTGTAGTTTTGGATCCCCGAACATTTGATTTCATTTAAAATTTAATTGTTATTTAATTGTCATCAATAATTACATCTGAATCGGCCTGACATGAAAAATCAAAACTCAGACACACCATTTCATATTAGGTAATGAGGGATATGACAAATTCATTTACCATCTCTACAACCTCAAGCATGGTCCAGTAGTGCCATATCCTAAAAAATGAATAAATTTTCATACTCTCCAATAGGTTCAATTAGGATAAGTGAAGTCCACTATACTCTTCACAAAATAACTTGTGTCTAAAATTAATAATTTATGCGGAATTTTAAGGTCAATTGTTTCATCAATCACTTGTCTAAGTTTTTCATCTCTAACTTTAATTATCCAATTAGAAAAAATTTTTGTGTCCTTATCTGGGATAGAGGACGTAGAAGAATGTAATATCATATTCTTCGCTAACATATAAATTTTAAAATACGATCATAATTTTAAAGAATAGATGATAGCACTCACAATTTTCTCTCTTGAAGTTTTGGGTAAAACATGAAGAGTTTGTCAAAAATCACCTCTGAGTACAACTATTTTCCCTTTGAGTCCTACTTTTTTCCCTCCGAATTCAACTATTTCCCCTCCAAATGGTTCATTTCTAGAGTTTTTATTAGATAAATTCATTACATCTCTCATTTTGTGATCGAGCACCTTAAAAATAAATGTATTCATCATGCATGCTCCATCCCATATTATTAGACTTACTTGTTGGATTAGTTCTGCTTTCGGACTCTCTTGTTTGATGGCACACGTTATGCAATCGCCCAAAGAGATTGAGAATCTCAAGTGTAATGTCATTCACCCATGTCCTTTCCCCATGAAAAAGTAATGCTGCAATACATCTGGATGTGACATTCAAGACAATCTTATCATTTGACATTAGAGAAATAAACACTGATTTCTATTTAAAAAAATCAGTTCTATTGTAACCATACATTAAAAAGAAACCTCCTCTTTCAGGTGTCACAACTTCCATTATCTCATCGTATATATTGTGCTGATATTCATTCATCGTACATAAGTATCTCATAAAATCATATGCAAAATTTTCTTTTTCACTTTTATAATGCAAAATCATTCAAGCCCTTGATAGTATTCTCGTCAATATACAAAATGTTTTATCAAAATAGAAATAATTATAAATATGAAGTTATATTTCTCTTTGATGTGGTTGTAACTTGTAACTTAGTCTCGATCTTATTAGTCTCCATTCAGATTTAATATTTTCATTTGACTTTTCTTGGTCAAATTTTGTATACTTTAACCTTGTTATATAGAATAGAGGAATCTCTTCATATTTCGTAGCTAAATAATAAATTTTGGAGTTCTGATCAACAAAATTGGAAATCTGTTCTCGTAAGCTCCGCAAAGAATATGGAAAATAATATAATTCACCAAAAAATAATGCTATCAATTTCCTTTTTAAATAGATTATTAATGATGCCATCCCTTAAACTTACCAAATGGAGTGTGAGTACATCATCAATTACACAATAGTTTTCACAATTTCACTTATCTACACTATAGAAGAAAAAAAGAAAAATATGCAAAGAGGTTCCCAAGAAATTGAAGATTGTTAAATATGGCAGATATATTACTCTTATTATTTAGAATATTTGGTTACCTTGTTTACCTAGACTTTACCTCCTCCTTGTGTATGTATAAATACCCCGACATATGATGAATAAAGTACTCAGTTCACAACACGTTATCAGCACGATAGTCCCAACCCTAATTTTTTTTGGCTTTCTTTTTCCAGAGACACAAAGTCTAAGGTTCTCCATCGCAGGCTCCCTCTTCTTTTAGCCAAAAAGAAACCTAATCGCCGGAAAATGAACAGAGTAGGCTTCCTCTTCTTTTTCAAATTTTGATCACCACCGGTCCAGAAGCCTCGCCGTCATCACCTTATCCTCTTGCCGAAACCTCCGCCGGTGGGTGTTAGCCTTGGTTTGCTAAGCCTCATGTTTTGATGTTAACAAACAATATAAGAGCTTGACGTTTGTTTAAGTGTTTCAGGTACAACAAGAATCCATTAAGATTCGGTTCTCAAGAATGAAGTCGAAACACTAAACTAGCGTAGAATTTAGGTAGAAAAACAATGTAAGAATATGATTTTATATACCTAAATTCACAAGCTCAAAAGCACTCACAAAATATGATCAAAACCATCCTGATACAATTTGATAATAACTTGTCTTATTGAATATTGAGAGATATGGCCCTATATATAGGGAATACAAGAGTAATCAAAGTACAAGTAGGAAAGGAAAGAATAATCCTAGTAAGAAAGGAAAGAAGTATCCTAATTTAATTATACTTCCTAATATCCCCCCGCAAGCTGATCAACGGAGACGAGGGGCAGCTTGGAACATAAGTACTCAAAAGGAACTGGCGGAAGCGGTTTGGTAAGAATGTCTGCTAGCTCCTCTGAGGAGGAAACATGATGTGGAGTCATAGTGCCTGCCATAACCTCATCTCGTACAAAGTGACAGTCTGTGCCCACATGCTTCATGCGATCATGAAGAACCGGATTTTTGGTGACACAGATAGTCGACTCATTGTCACAGTATAACTTCGGTTTGGACGGAGGAATACCCAGTGCATCAGTGATATATCGAAGCCACATAGCTTCTGCAACCCCTGCAGCCATAGCTCGATATTCAGCTTCAGTGGATGATCTAGAAACACGAGTCTGCTTTTTCGTGCACCAAGAGATGATATTAGGACCGAGTAGGAGTATGTAGCCCGTGGTAGACTTGCGATCATCTTTATCATTGGCCCAGTCAGAGTCAGAGTAGACAGATAGGTCGAATCCCCCCTTGCGAAAAAGAAGACCATGATTCAAAGTGCCTTTGAGATAGCGCAGAACGCGTTGCAAGGCATGATAGTCCTGCTCAGTGGGGTTGTGCATAGTCTGAGACACTCGATTAACAGCATACTGAATGTCTGGACGAGTGACAGCCAAGTAATGTAAACCGCCAACAATGCTCCGAAAATGAGAAATATCCTTGAAAGGCAACGAAGGCTTAGTGATAGGTCTCGTAGCCATAGGAGTAATAGCCGGATGACAGTCGGACATCCCAGCTCGGCGTAGAAGATCACGGGCATATTTGGATTGATGGAGAAGTATAGAATCTTG